TATATTCTATATGACGGGTTAGTCGAGGTGAGACTATCGAGCCATTGAGTTATCATCAAGAGATGATGTCGGAAGTGAAGGATAAATAAATTAGTGAGAATTGTAGATAAATAGTGAAATAATAATCATTGGGATTAATTGGGAGAATGTGAAGAGTTAGTGGAGGTATGAATAGCGAGTCCATTAACTTGGTGGTGGAAATTAGAATTATTATTATTTTATTAGTGGTTAATAAAAAGAAATAAGAGTAGTAAGAGAAGGAAATATCATTTCACGCAGAAACAAAAGAAAAGGGAGAAAAAGAGGAAGAACACAAAAGTCAGTGGAATCAATCCAGAACAAGGTAAGGGTGAGATATCACTTGGTTATTAGGATTGTATGATAATGCATGATGGATAGTAACATGTGTTAGGATCAATTTCACTAAATTTCCATGTTTTGAATTACTTAGGTTTTGATTAAGATCTATGTGATTGATATGTGATTGTGTTGTAATGTTAGGGATGATGATGTTGTGTTATATGAGTGATATACTATGAAAATCACAGCTTATTTTGGTGCAAAACCATGGATTTTGGCTCAATATCGTATAGGGAGAAGTGTTATCATCGCAGAAAATTTTCTGGTTTTCGCAGAGGTCGCTTAGAACTGTTTTGTGCGCTTAGCGCCAAACTCTCGAGAAGTGAAGGCGCTTAGAGCCTATAGCTCGCTTAGCACGACCTGAAAGCTGAAATTTTATGATTTCTTCATATTTATGTGGAATTATGCATGCTAATGTTGTATAATAATTTATAATTAATTTCAGAATTTTAAAAATAAGTGTTGGATGGATTTTGAATGCTTATATGATAAAAACATGAAACTTTGTTTATATGTTCCATGTATGCATGTTTTGTGATTTGGTGTTGGATTGTAGTAACACTATTAGACATTGCTTGTTATGTATCATTATGATGATTTGGCGTGGTTACACTATGAAAGTGAATTGTATGTGGATAATTCATGAATGTGTGCATGTATGTGTGATTGTATGGTAATTCAAGTGTGCTGAATTATTTAAGATATGCATGGATGTTAAGATTGAGGGATGGTCTTAATTGCATATGATTGTTGAAATTAGAATGCACCATTGTTGTCAAGAGGCAATGCTTGTTAGTTCTGTGGGAGCTAGTGACTTGTCCTAAACCTAGAGCGGGATTTGCAAGCTTAGGGAACGAGCTTTTTGTGTGTTATTGGTCTATGGAAAGAACCCAGTTTAAAGTAAAAACTGAATAAAAATAACAGTGATTGGTACCACATGCATGAGTATTGCATTTGAGTCTTGCGTTGAGTCACATTGTGCTTATATCATAATATGAAGTTATGTGCATTGTGTGAAAATGATGTATTTGTGAAATTGTGGATTCTGAGTGTATACTCGTGAATGGTATAAATAATTGGGTGATGCTATGTATGTAAAACATATAAAGTGTGAGTGAATCCATCTGTATACATGTATGTTATCGCATTTTGTATTATTATATGATTTCGATAATTATGTGAATTCTCACACTTCTGTTGGAATGATGTTCTATATAATATCGTCCAGGTACTGAAGATTAGAGTTGCTTCTAACAAGAGTGTAGTCGGAGGAGCTATCTTTATTTTTCTTTCCGCATTTTGGTTTGTGGTCACGCTCTGATGTTATGTAACACCGGAGAATAATTTTGAATTCATGTTTGAGAGATATTTTGTATACTCTTTGATTTTGTTATCCTTATTAGAATTATGTGATTGTTTACAGTGATTTCTGGTAAACAACCGCTAGTCCTCCAAACTATCAAATAATCTTAATGACTGTTATTTAATCTCTCTGGTAACTTACAGGATCGACTAGATTGATCCTGTGGTGTATTGGTTGTTTGGATAATTCTCGTTGTAGAACTGATATTCATGGTTGGTATTTAGAATGTTGTGTAGGCGTTTAACTTACTTCGATTACCATATTAAAAGATCTAATGACATGATCAAGTAAAGATGTACGAAACTAAATTGCATGAATAAAGATTCGATTGTAAAGAAATGTAAAACTGCAAGAAACAAATAAATAACTTTGAAGTATAAAAGCATGTAATGTAAAAGAGTTTCTGAAAGGTAAAGGATTCGAAATAAAATGAAAGCGTTTAAATGCAAGAAATCAGTAAATGACTTTGAATGGAAAGATATTCGAATGATGAAAGCATGAAGATAAAAGCGTGAAATGCAAAAGAGTTTTTGTAATGTAAAGTACTCAAAATAGAAGGAAAGACTTTCAAATGCAAGAAATCAGTAAATGACTTTGAATGAAAAAAAAACTTTAATGTAAAAGCGTTTGAATGATATTGACATGAAGATAGAAGATAAACTGGAAATGATAAAGAGTTTTACTGAGTCATAAATATTTGGTGTTATCATACGTACATTGTTCGAGCATTCGCTTCCCTAGCCATGTGGTATTTTGAATGTTTACTGAATTTTGTACAATAGATATGACACACGAAATCCTAACGCTAAGACTTCTATTTATACTACTTCGACCATAACGGTCTTGCCTATAAGATTCTGCCACGTTCAGAACATGCAGAGCACTGCCCCTCTCTAGCTTCCACGCGTCTTCGAATGCTCCAGCGTATATATTTTAAATTTCGAACATCCCGCTTGCGTTTGAATTTCAAATGTTTTGGCACTCTTCGCTTCGAACTCATTTCTTGGACACAGTCTCGTTACCACTTCGAGACTTCTTTTGAATATATCTCCACAACTGTCACTCGAAGCTCTGAGCTTTGACATGTTCATTCGAAGCACTGCTTCTACCATTTCGAACCATGACATCTTGCTTTATTCCAATGAAACATCCAATTTGCTTCGTTTCGAACTGTATCATCAAAATCTTCAGCCAACAGTGATAAACTGGCTTTTTATGTCTAAGTTATTCAACGAATGAATTTGTTATGTATGAGACTCAAATATTGTGTTTATTTGAATAAAAATGATTTCGTTACAAAATGCATATGTGGAAGTGTATGAAAAACATGAATTATAACCAAATATTATTGAGCATGACAAGTGTACGTGGTTTTGAATTATGTGTGACATATGTATGATTATATTACTCTAATTTATGATGTATTATTCCACGAAGTTTTAGAAGGTGTTACAAATAGTACTACGAGAGATGTATTATATAGTAAAATATACGACTCATCATATTAATTACATTATAAATATGCTAAAGAATGTGATATATATATAGATGTGATAAGTTTCAATGTTATTGATAGAAGCTATGAGATTTGTTGAAAAATAATGAAAGAAGCTTTGTAAATTCAAATGATGAGAAATTCTCCATTTCTTTGAATTTGCTGTTTTGAAGAAATAAAAAAGAGAAGAAAAGGGAAAATGCTCGAGTTTACTTAAATAGAAATGTCTGAATTTTAATTTTGGTACTAAATTGAATGTTGAAATCCAAAATATTTTTATATTATATAATTATGAGTTGGGCATTCGGAGTTCAATCTCCATAATCGTATAGGGAGAAGTTTTATGATCAGAGCTTATTCCACTGATGATTTAGTGTATATTAAGTATGTTGGAATTTTAAAATATAAATTTCCAATTGTGTGAGTTATAGTTAGGGATGTCAATGGGGCGGGACGGGGTCGGGGGGACACTTCCCCATCTTTTTCCCCGCCATCAAATTCATTCCCCGTCCCCGTTCCCGATCTCCGTCACGGAGGAATTTCTATCCTCATCCTCGTTCCCCGCGGATCCCCGTTCTCCGCGGGGATCCCCATAGATCCTACATTTATTCATTAATATTTTATTTTTTTAAAATGTTTATATTTTCTATAAAAATAAAAAGCACAAAGAATTCACATATTTATTATGTTATTAAAAAATACTAGTATTTGACATTTATTATTTTTTATTAAAAATACTAATGGAACACAAAATAATAATATTTTTTTTATAAATTTCTATAAAATGCTATAAAATTCAACAAAATGAACTATAATACTTTTTAAAGTAACAATATGCCTAAACAACTAAAAAAATCCAACAACATAATTATGCTTAAAAAACTATACTTCATCAAAACTAATAAGGGATAATTATAAAATTTAGCATCATGAGTATGCTTGAAAAGCTAAAAAATACTTCATAATAAGTCAACTAAAAGCAAAAGTCAACATATCTCTATTTGCTCAATTGATAACACACGTAAAGTAGAAATATCAAGGAGAAACAATCTACTTTTTTCTATAAACAATAATATAAACAGATTTATGAGAATCAAAGAGAAATAATCTATTTTTTCCTATAAATAATTACATGAACAAATTTATGAAAATCAAACCTTATTGATGAAATTGTAAGAGCTGTGAATAATGGAAGCACACCAAATAGAGAAGATGGAATTGGAAGAGGAAGATGAATGGAGATTTGACTGGAGAAGAAAAAAAGGAGTCTAACGTGTGAGACTCTAAATGTCTGGCAGAAGAAAATGAAACGCTTCAACTTTTTTAGGGTCTAATATTTACATTTCTCTCTCTTAATAAATACATGAATATTTATTTATTTATTTTTATAAATAAACATAAAGGAAATGACTAAAAAACCTAATCTAAAATATATATATTAAATTAACTATATTAAAATAATAGGCGGGGCGGGGGTGTATTCCCCGTCCCCGAAATGCTCTCGGGGGAATTTTTCTCCCCATCCCCGCCCCCACGGAGGAAAATTCCCCATCTTTGGGGCCCCGAACGGGGCGTTCCCCGCGGGGATCCCCATTAACAGGTCCAAACTGACATCCCTAGTTATAGTGGCATATATTAAAGAATCTCCTTTTGGAAAACAAAAGGAGGGGTGAAAAGTAGGGCTCAATTTAGAGTTTTTTCCCGAATTTTGAAGCCCTATTTGTTCCGGGCCATATAAACAAAAACTTGACTCCTCAATTTTGTTGGCATTGTAGAAGAAAAATGGTTATTCCTGCTATTGCTATGGCTAACATTGTTGTTAGAGTACCTTCTCTTTCTGTTCCTTCAAATGCTTTCACTCTCAACTCCAAAATTAATACCCCTAACCATATACTTCATCTCAACTTCTCACAAACCAACCACACAACAACCCCATTTCCATCTTCCTTATCATCATCATCATCATCATCATCAAAATCACTCAGAAACAGGACTAGTTATTCTGCGTTGGCTTCTCTTCCCCCTGCTTCTGAATCCTCATCTTCCAATACTACACCCTCTTCTACTTCTCCTGCAACTAGGCTATATGTCAGTGGTAACTTCTTATACCCTTTTGACCCTTTTATTTATTTTTTCTCATCTTATTGATAAAGTTTGAAACTTTTGCCTTTTCCGTTTATGGGTCTTGCCCCAATTAGGTTTTGGTTTTGATCTATATCAACAATTGGAGAATTTTGTTGTGGGCATTCTCATTAGTTGTGTTTGGATTGGTGATATAGGGTGAAAAGTTTTGGACATAATTCATCTCTAGAGTATTTCGCTATGTGTTTTGTTCGATTTTTGGTTTCAACTGTTAATCTTGTTTAGGTGTCTATTCTATTGTCTTTTACCTAGCAACAAAAGGTGACATGATTTGAGCCTTTTCGTTCTAAATCATGTAAGCATCTTATCTGTACTGAGTTTCAATGCTCATGTGATTCAATGTCCATTTGCTTTCTTATTAGGATAAGACTTTGTTTTGGATTTCTTTGATATGTCATTGTTTATATGCATATTTTCTTACATTAGCTTTACACATGTTCTTTCATGTTTCTATGTTTCTTTAAGGGCTATCCTTTCGTACAACGGAAGAAAGCTTGCGAAATGCATTTAAGAATTTCGGTCAACTCGTTGAAGGTAACTTAAAATTTTGATGTGTTTCACTTTGTCTATATTCCAATTTGATTGCAATTTAAATTTCAAGTTCGTCTGCAAATCCTAACTCAACCGGCAGAAACCAATATTGTTAGGTTGGACACCATCACCATGATTCGAACCCTGATACTCACGTTTGCGTGTGTGATTTTCTAGTAGTGGTTATTACCAAAAAAATTGAATTTTACCATACATAATTTATTTATCGATTTTAATCAATTTGTTAGTGACGGTTTTCATTCCTAATAAAGTATTGACTTAACTATGAATAGTAAATCTTGTGATGGATAAAATTGCGAATAGACCAAGAGGGTTTGCTTTCCTTCGTTATGAAACTGAAGAGGGATCCAACAAGGCTATAGAAGGAATGCATGGAAAGGTATGATTTTGATGTTTCTACAATTATCAATGTATCTTATGATTTGAAAACATAAGTGTTCTGATTCATGATTTGAATTTCGATTGATAACTACTATGTTTTAAGCTGTGTTTGACAAGATTGGAAACACTTTTACAGTTCCTGGATGGTAGAGTCATATTTGTGGAAATCGCCAAACCAAGATCAGAGCTGCGACAAAGATTCAAACAGAACACTGTGTAGTGATAGTAAAACTCCATAGTACATTATTTACTCATCCCAGCTTGCAATATGAAGAATCATAGTAAAATGGGATTAGCTTTTTACATTGTACTTTGATACTGTTCATACTTTTCGATTTAAAACCATGTTATATGAAACAACTTCATCCGTGTCTTGTGTAATCAATTTTGTTAGTCACATAAATGTCTGCAGAAGTAATTGATTATAATAAATCTTAAAGAGATTTTTTTTACCAAACAGTGTTTACAGCATTCAAGGAAATTAGGATGTGATGATAGGAATATTTTTTCAGTTTAATCAAGAGTATTGGATTTGAATTTAACCTTGAGAATCTAAGTGTTAAATTTATCTGCACTCAAAATCTGAGCAAGAGTTTTACAATCTGTTGAACATTCTTGCTATAAACATTTCTATTATAAAAGATCTCTGATTTTTGTAATTTTTAGAGATGTTAATTAATATGTATTTGAAGTGTTGGTTTAAACTTTATACAGGATAGTAACATTGTTCTTGTCAGATCATTATTATGAAACATAATGGATAATAGAAGTGGACTACAATTTTTGATACCAATCATTGACCAAAGAACACCAACATCTATATTCACTGAGGTAGATACAATGTTCATAAGAAAATTAACCGGATACAGAAGAGAATCCTGATACACAAATTTTCTATGGTAACTGTCCGCCAGGCCAGGGTTTTAAAAAGCGGCGGTCGCGACTTGTCGTCAAGGGTTTTAAAATGCGATTTCAATCAATACAGGTGGGTGTGGGTGGTTTTAAAAAGTGGTCGCGACTTGTCATCAAGGATTTTAAAAAGCGATTTCGATCGGTACAGATGGGTGTGACTTAATTACAATTTGACCATTTTTTAAAACCCTAGTCGGCACTTAGACACTGAAACTAATTCACCTGCAAATTGTCATAACGGAAAAACATATGCTTCCTTCATGGCCCTTAATAATTGATCCAACATGCAACTCAACTAAAGACCAAGATGCCAAAAAAATGGAAGAAAAATATTGAACACGGAAAATAACAAGAAATTTGCTGGTATGTGTACCTATTTACTGTAAAATGAAACATCAGAAGAATTATTAGACATCAAGTGAACAATATTCATATTACAAAACATTGCAAAAAGAATTGAAAGTCTAAGATGCTTAACAATTAGAAACAATTAGATCACAGCTACCAAAAATCAGTTCCTTATTCTCAGCAACTTTTTTCTTTGATAACCACAATGAACATTGCAAAAAATGGAATAGAAAGCTATGAACACACACGAGCTCTTTGCCCTTCTCTTTCTTCCAACCCAACAATGAAAGAATTTTCGTCTCTTTCAGATAAACATCTTTTATATGGTACAAACCCTCTTCCAGATTTCTTCAGGAATACTCCTTCACCTTCATGATGATGTTTTCGGCTTTGAGTATCATCGGTATCTGATAAATTGTTCTTGCTTTGATTTTCCACATCACAAACTGATCCGGTATTAGAACCAGTGCAAGAACTTTCCTCCTCTCGAGTTCTTACCTTCAAACAAGGCCTGACAGGCACAGGACTTAAAATCTGATGATTGCATGGCTTGAGGCTCAAAGCTGGAAGGCCTTGGTACAAACTCCAACATGGTAAAGATGATCCGCATTCACCGACACCGCACGGATTCTCCTTCGGTTGTTCCATACTTTGACAATTACCACTACACATGCCTAGTGATAGTTGTGTAACAAGTTTCTCTGACTCCTCTTCTAAGCCAGCTTTCTCATTCTCAACAGTTTCATCAGATTTTATGTCTATTGTTTTCTGAGTATCAACCATAGAGACTGTTCTGCCAAACAGCTTAATACTAGTGATCTGTGGCATATCCGCAGCATCTTCCTTGAAACATTGAGTTTCTTCCGAAGAAATAATCTCCAACTTCTGTGGTAACACGAGAGAATTTCAAAATCAGTAAAGTACCGTTTGGCTAAATCATAGAACATCATGCAATTTATCATATTATCATACCGTGCATATAATTGATTTTGAGTCGGTGGATAAAGGAACTGAAGCTGGAGTTCCTTTATCTTCCTCCTCAGAGGATTTCGATGTATGACAATCATTTTCTTTTTCAAGAGGCGACAAGCTGACCGGGTGAATCTCGGTGGTACAAGAGTTTGGAGAAAGGCATCTGTTAGTCTGCTCAGAAAATGCTGCTGACCCGAATGCTTCAGAACCAAATGCGGATAGTACCGAGGTTGGAGATTGGGTGTTGTTCTCTGCAACTGACAGGTTAACGGATGGAGATGTTTCTGATTCATTCAGGATGGACTGTCCTTTGAAAGACTCAACTGATTTGCGAGGGTATGGATGAAGAGGTTTCCTCTTCGGCCGAGGAGGAGGTATGTCAATCGGCTGAATAGGACTTTCAGCGCTGCCATCAGGTTCCCGCACAACCTGAAAAATACACTGTCGCGTTAATTATGTTGTTAATTAAAGTATCAATGATCAAAATCCTTTCCTTTAAAGTCGAATAAAAAAAATCTAAATCTATGTTCATAATTTTCTTTTTACAAGTGAGGATTATCTACTAAAATAAAATGTATTAACCTTAGAGAAAAACTTTTGAGCATGACTTCGAATCTGAACTGCAGTTTTCGACCCTATATGTTCTGCATGAAGATTAACAACAGGACTTTATATCTAACTTGAATACATGGAATTATCATTTATTGTAAATTAGTTCAACAAATTTTTAAGTACCTTCAATTTGACGCCAGCCACGACCATATAACTTCAAAGCCTCGATGAACTTTTGATGCTCTTCTTCAGTCCACTTCTCCCTTTGCTTAGTGATGGTATACGGTTTCCTCACCTGTTGTAAATTGAAACAAATTTCAGGACAATAGATTCGTTCAAATTTCACTACACTAAAGTGCTATTTAACATTGTTGAAAATAATAGTTCAATATCAATTGTAGAAAGAAAGTATAACAACCTTGGGAGTTTGGTCACTTCCAACAGAAGGTATATCCTGCGACTTCGCTGTCGCAACATTTTCACACATTGCTCCACCTTTGGTATGACACTTAATAACTGTTCCGATTATAGTTGACTTTGTGCCTTCAACTTGATTCTACATTCAAAGGTAGCTAATGATTTGAAAAACCGTTCAACAACGGAAAAAAACAAAAGATAAAGACAAGGGATTGGGACTTAATATCATGATGAAAGAAATTGATGCTCACTAGAATATGTTTGGTTTAAAGAAATTGATGAATTCATATTGAAAGTCGAAACCCTCTTTTACTATGAAAAGAGGAAAAAAGTCTCCGGAAGAGTGGAGGATTGAATGTAAGATGGATGAAACCTGCTTCATTCATACCAGCAGCATGTTAAATAGACCTAAGTTTAGTCGTCGTCACGTTCAAATCTCACTTACTAACTCATGCAAATACACTCGCAAAAACCAAATACCCAGTGATATTTCACTAAGAACACTACGTTGATTAATGTTATACACAAAAAATGATCAACTGAGGCGTTTACAATGACCAATGAATAACATACTCTTCTCTAATCAATTCACTAATAATCAATTTTTCTCACCGCAGAACCAAACACACGCTCTATAATCTCACTCGTAAACTCTAGGAAAGACAAGGAATCAAATGAAATACTAGTTTTCTATAAATTAACCTTAAGAACTTCACATAACCAGAATGATTCAGCAGACAATTTCAACTTCTTACCAATGTTTTAAAAGCCGAATCAGAACAATCAACCAGTTGAACTGGTTAGATGTTATCAAGTTATGAAAATGAAATATATACACAACACAATGCTTTTACAACACAAATGCTTCATCCCAAAAACAGTAAAAGAATCAACCTTGTATTTTCAGACAATTTCAACTTCTTACCAATGTTTTAAAAACTGAACGAGAACAATAAACCAGATGAACCATGAACTGCTGGTTCGATGTTTGGTTCGATTTTTAAAACATTGTTTTATAGCTTTAGATGCTGATCAAGTTATGAAGAATTACTCTACATACACAAAATCACAAAAACAAAAAACAAGAATCAACCTTATATTTTCAGACAATGCAAAAGTAAGATAAAAAAAACATCAAAGGGTATTCAAAACAAGCTCAAGTTTGAACTGTCAATAATCAAAATTAAAATACCTTAATCTCCATTGTAGCAAAATCAGAGCCAATCCAAAACACCCTAATCTTCACAGATACAAACCTAATAATAACAGCTTCCACCAATCAATTCACAACTAAATAAAGTGAATATTTTTATCAAAAAATAAAAAATAAAATCACATATTTAAATCCACAATCTCTTGATTTTCCTCCGCATAATAGTGATAAACAGCTCAGAAAAAATTCTAAAAATAGAAACTGACGAAAAAAAACTACAAAACTACCCTTTTACAAATCAGATCAAGCAGATTCTGAATATTGAGAACTTCTTCAAAAAAATATATATATTTTTGGAAATTTTTTATTTTTGAGAAAATGGATTGCTACCTTGTGATTTCAGCTGAAGCAACCGAATTTGTGAATATCAATTTTAAAGTAAAAACGTAAACTTTCTCGGAAAAAAATGATTTTCCGAGAAAATCAAAGTGACCCAGATGAAGAATTTGGAGAGAAAGAGAGGATGAAGCAATGGGAAAATTTTGAGCAGAGAAGGGGGAGAAAGAGAAGAACAGAACAGAGATTATAAATTAAAAAAAAAAATAAACAAATAAAATATAAAATAAAAAACAAAAAAACGACAGCGTGACACGTCAGATTTAGAAAATATTTTGTAAGAAAAATAAAAAACTAAATGAAATTTCCATGGAGAGTTCGAGAAAACCTATGAATTTGTGGCTGAAAATGGTCTAAGACAAAGGACACGTGGCGCGTCGTTGTGATGTGTTGTTTTTAATTGGCAAAAAAAATGAAAAATAAAAAATAGTAAAGAGAAAATGTGGTGGTTCAGATTTTTTATTCGTGGA